AAAATAATCATCTTTGTTTGATTCAATTTCAATTTATTCAAACCAAAAAATAGGTGGACTGTTTATGTCATGTCACAGGGTTTTGATTAGAATGTTCCAAGTCTTTGTTTCGCTAATTTAGGGGGTCAATCATACCTTGGTTTCAGAAACGGGAATTGATAGCCCAACTTACCAGTAATGCCGTTCACAGCTCACCGTCAAATTTGAGCCTTCTAAGCCATGGGTATCTATAATTATCTGTGTTTGAAAGTTAGAAAGACCAGTTGCTTTTCCAATATTTTCTATTTTGAGTATCCATTAATGACGTCACGTGTATACAGTTGACAGCTTGTCTCACTTCATCTATATTTTGGATGAACTCAGCTTTAAGAATAGGGTGGGATAAAAGACGTAAGTGAATAAAAGTAATATTTATTTACTAATAAATATGAAAGCAACAAAATAAATGATGTCAAAACCTTCTAAACACTCTTAACTAACTGAACTACAGCTATCCCCAATTGTCAATAAAATTAAATGGAGTTTTACGTCCTATTTTTTGCATCATGTGGGTTCATTGTCAATGAAGACAATGATAATAATAATGAAGGGATAGTTTCATCTAAATGTCACTTTACCAGCTGATAGAGCTCATTTTGAAGCTTCAGTTGATGCTATATAAAACCCATCAATCGATTCTCCTGCAATTAATGTACAGGTGGAATTTAGACTGTCTTATATACTCCAAGGACATCTTCACATTGGCAAGCTACTATGAACCTCGTCTTATACCTTGACTGCAATAGCCACTATTTTTGTATCAAGGAAGTTTTTAAATGTAAATTTGATTGACCATGAATAACTTTAAAACAAGTAAAAAGTACACAAGAAAATAATGGTACTTGTATGTATAAGATACCAATAAATACACGACACCATTGCCAGTTATCTCCCTTTAGCTATCTTAATATACTGCCATAAAATACAATTCTTGTGCTTCAGTCATTTGATTGGTCAATAACTTAAATTTAATATAAATCTAGCCTTATAAACCAATCAGATTTTGTTAAAATCTTGTATTTAATAATAATAATAATAGGTCACTTATATAGCACAAATTACTTATCAATATTGCGTCCTTGATCTATATATTTCTGTATTTGGAGGACATTTTATTGGATCTTTATTATAGTTTTGAGAATTATACCATGTATAAGAGTATTATACAATAAAAGAAAACACTAATGCCAGTAATTCATCTTGAAAAGGGATACAGTAGGCTACAGTAAGATTAAATAAGGTAACTAATGGCTAATTTGACTAAAATAAATATTGCACTAATATAAAGCATATCTGTTAAAAAAAAATACAGTCTAATTAGAATTAGACCAAACTTTCATTCTAATCCTTTAGCGACATTTAGAGGTAGAGTTTACATTAAATAACGGAACACAATTTTATGATATACTACTCCTTAGTTTTATTACACAATGTTACAGCAATCTACATCGTCATCGTCATCTACAAGTGAAGTGTGGAACCATAATAACATAACATTGTGTTCCGTTATTTAAAACTTTCATTCTATTTTTGTAATAAGTTTTTATTTTTAATATAGCCAGGTTGATGACACCGATAGTCAATTAAATTCCAGCCCTCTCCTAACGTTGGGATTTTGTGAAATGAAAAATGGTGCATTCAGTGTTCAGTGCTACTCAGATGATGATACTCATTACAAAATATTATATAAAAATACACACTATTTTGAACTTTGTAGGGACTAACAAGACCTGGTTATTTATGTACTAAAACTACATGAAAATTGCATAGTTCCTTCAAAAATACCTTAAACTATGAATTTCAATTCTATTTCAGGGCTTGTCTTGGTCAGGGACCCTTAAAGGAATCAAAAGAGGTTTTCAAAATTTTTTATGTGTATCTGGGACACTAGCAGCATCAATAAGCACCTTTCCAATTTTGTTGTACATGTAATTTCACTAAAATTAACGTTAATGATGTCACAAATCGCCAAATCTGCTTAATCAAACACTAAGTTTCATTAGAATTGCAGAAACCACAGACTCTGATTGAAAATTGAAATGGTGCAAATAGATGATACACATTAAATATTTAGAAAACCTCTTTACTATCTCTTTGATACAATTGGTTACATAGTTAGATATAGGTTTACACAGTCTATAATATATATAAAACAAAGGTTTACTAATTTATAAATCATATCTACAACCTTTCAACTGGCACTATTGAATTGACTATATATTAGTAATGTACAGTGGAACCATGGGTGGGCCTATTTCAGAAAAAACATCTACTTAAGATAACTTTAATAGTCATCTGATTGGTCAAAATCAATAAAATCATTCAAATATTTAGCTTTATTAGCCAATCAAATTGCTGTATTTCGTAAAATCTGATTATAATCTTTGAATCTTCGTTAAGTTTTCAAGAATAAGGTGTCATATCTTTTAAATACTATTGTAAAATTATGAATGAATTTATTTTCATGGAAACTAAAACTAATTGATATGGATAATATATGTTGAAGTTACTAAAAAAAATACTGAAAAATTAAAAACTGCCTTTTATCACAAGTGCCCATCAGGAATCTATGAAATTTATGTCATAGCAAATTTAAATTTTTATTTTTCCTGATTTTGCTCTGAGATATGTCACCCATACAAAAACCATAAAACGTAACATCAAGATATGCATTTTAATCAAAACGTAAAAATGATTTATGTTAAAAATTTCATATTCAAATGACAAATTTCAAAGATGAATTTTCTAGAAACGATATGGTGAACAATGCTGATTTATTATAGTTTGTGAATAATAGAGGTTTAAATAAAATTATACTATATACAATAAAAGATGAGACCAAACTTTCATTCCATTTTTTATTGGCTTTTATTTATATGTAGCAACATCAGTTAGGGTCTAACATCTGAAGAGGGAAAAAATTTGATTGGGTAAAGCAGTTGTTAGCTAGTTAGGTCAAAAGGTTACAGGGATAAATATTCAATAAGGATGTCATTAGATCCTGACTGAAGTAGCAAAATAGAACATAAAGCTAATACAGAGCGGAACGAAAGTTTGGTCTAATTAAAACAGATTTTGATTGAAGTCCTTTAGTTCAAAGGCCCTATGGTCATTAGTATGATATGAAGTTACAGTTTTTAGTGAAAATGAGACTGTACAGTCAAGCAGATATGAATGCTATCGTGTCCAAACCACACCCCCATTTGTCAAACTTCCTCAGGGACGTGGTAAAAAGTGAGAAAAATTACATATTCATAGCTAAAATATTGTCCAATCCAAATTGGCCCTACTGTATTGGTAGCAAATTTCAGCCAATCAACACAAATTACTCGTTATAACGCTTTGTTTGCGAATGTACACAAAACGAAAACAGCGTGCCATTACATATTTTTATAAATTTATAGCCTACGATACAGAATTGAGTTAAACTTTCATTAAAGAATAGAAGCCGAAATATACAAAATTCATCCTTACTTTGGAATATTTACTTAGAAAGGATGTGTTCTTATCTCTTCAAATGGGAGGCAGCGAAGCAGTTTTGTGTTTTGTATACATGACTTCATTTCTGTTCTACCAATCTGATCGGTCAGATTTAAATTCCACCAAAGTTATTTCCACGCCCCCAAAACGAAGTGTAGTGGGCTTAGTTTAATACGGGTTAATAAGACCATGTCAAAACCCGTATTCGTGATACGATGATATGAATGCATAACTGACTACGATTTAAAACTTAAGCAAAGAGCAGTCTATTTTGTTTTGAGGTAAAACAAGTAATTATTTGTTCTTTAAAACCAGACTTATTTTGTGTTCATAACTACTTATCCTACCTCAAAATAAAGTGGACTGGACTGCAGTTTATTGTTGTATTTGTTACCTCTGGGGGAGCTTACAAATGGAAAGTAGTAATTTCTTAACACAGAAACTTGGGCTACTCAAATATAACACTACTTACAAGCAAAAAAGTTATGAATGATATTTACTACTTCGAAAGTCGTGCTTTCCATATTTTCCCAGGCTTAACGAATACAGCATATGAATCTAACCCTTATGCTGAGGTCACAAAAACAGTTGTTGCCGACACAAATTTTGAGTAAAACCTCACTTGCCCACTCTTCAATGACAATATTATTGCATTGCCGACAGGATTTTGAACTTCAAAGCAGTTTGATATTTTTTTTCGTAGATGACTGTTTTCTTGGTGTGACTGCACTCGCGATGGAACCAGACCTGACACAGCGTTATTATCCAATCAGATTCATTTCCACTTCAATTGCATGATCATCTTGTGATTATCAACCAAGGGAAAACGACCAATTGGAGATTTTTTAGTCTCTCTTTACATGACTTTAGCCGCGACAAAAAATGGCTGCCAAAACTGTTTGTGTGCTGCAATAAACTCCAGCATGATATGGTAGGCAAGGACTGACGTCTGATATGAGTGATAAATAAAAATATTAAATAATAAGCATTAAAATACGCTATATACAAACATATTATAAAAATATATTTCCTTCAATCTTAAACTTAAAAATTTGATGGTCACTTATGGGACTATTTTATGGACGTTTTAAAACAACATAACATTCCTGTGAAAAACAATTTGCAATCTCACGATTTAAAAGGAATTATTTTGGTATTTCTGATTAGTATTTTGGAAAAGATTGAAGTGGATTCAGGGTTCTCAGTGGATTTGTTGTCAGGTGGCTCAGAATCAAGAACATGCTGCTACACTTTAGCCCAGAGAGCTGTGGCTCCACACATAAAGGCAAGTTTCTGTGTCCAGACGGCTACTTCTCTCTTTACAGGCAGCGGAATTCGCTGGTTGCCGGCTTCTACTGAGAACCCTGGGGTTATATAATGTTGTATGAATCTGCTAGATCAAGGGACATCAAAATCAATTATCCGAACCACACTTAGCAGAAGCAGTTTCACTAAAAACATGTTGTCAAAGGAATGTATGTTTAAGGCTTGGAGCAATTTAATTTGGGATCCATGAGCTCCTTGTGAATTTTTCGAATTTCTGTTATGTTATTCCGATGTCCTGTCACAGATTTGGAATGGACACATCCTTTCGCAGGCATTTTTACATAATGAAATCCATAGTCATTTATTCTTGTGATTCCAGCTTTTCTTGCACATATTCCTGTAATATAGATATCTTCCAACCAAAACATTTTGATTTGTAGAGATGCTTTAAATAAATCAGGCACTGCAGCAGTGGACATCGAATAAGAAGTCCCGGACGTATATTTTGGATAAAATTTTTCATTGAAGTCTTTTACAGGCGTATACCATTTTGACGATTGACTTTGCACAGGTTGAGCACCAACAAAAGTTACTCCTAAGATAAATTTTGCGTGCTTTTGTTTATGTAGTGCAGTTAATAAATTTGGTATGTTCACATACATATCATCATCTGCTTTGAGAAGGTATTTTGCTGTCATACAATACGTACTCACCCATTTTAACATAGCTTGAGATTTAATACTCAAATTACGATAACTGTCTTTAAAATCCTCTTGAATAACATCATGATATGTTCTACTTTCATTTTCTAATTGTAATTGCATGTATTTAGGAACCCCACTTCCCACTAAATACAAAACAGTTATATTGGTTTTAGGCTCTTTTCCAACCGAGCCCCATGTTTCTCTTATAGTTTGACGCTCGGCAAAATTTTTGATGCTGGTACAGACCATAATGATAAGATGGGTCGATTCTGTGCATGCTTCTGGCTCATTTAAAATATACTTATAATCATGGGGATTTACAAATTGGACTGCGGCAATGGTAGTTGTAGGCGCATTGGATGTGGTGTTGAAATTTCCCGTCACTACAATAGGCCTATCTATCTGCTTACTGTTGTATGAATTCAAATGTAAAGTTGTTCCAAACTTCCCAAAATAAATTATGCCATTTGCAAGAAGACATATGACAAATAGGAATGTCAGGCAGTGCCAGAATCCTGGAGATTTGGGTACACAACATCTTGGACTGAAAAACAGAAAAAAACTTCAGTTTAAACTACAAATGCAGTATATAGACACAGCTTTATGGAACAACAATCACTGGTTTAAGTTTAATGCAACGTTTCGATGTACTCACAATTGCTAAATGCCATTCAAATACAAATACAGTAGATCAAAATATAAACAATTAAATAATAGTAACGTATACAACTGAATTGTCTTTTATTATTGTCTTATTATTAGATAGGTACCGTCTGTAGTATGGGGGTCGCTGAGCTATAAATAGTAACACATGTTAAAAAATATCAGGGTTCCTGACACTCGCTAATCCGACAATGTGTTGCGGTCCCAGTGTATGTCGGATTACGCAGTGTATACTTATAGAAGAGGAGATGTGCAATTATAATGTAAAATGAATGAAGACCAACCTTTCAGAATATGTTAAGTAAGTGAAAAAAATTATGAAGAGAATCAAAAAGCATGATGCTTTTCAGACTTATTTTTCAAGAGCTTTTACAGAAAAACTTGAAATTGACCTTGGTGAAAAAAGTAACTGACCTTGGCAAAATAAATATTTAAAAAAAAAATGTGTTCAGATAAGAATAAATTGCAGATAAATAATACAATTCACAACTATATAATCAGCAAAATTGAATTGACCAACAAATATACAGCAGGGGCCTTATTCTTGAAAACTTAATAATACAATCTTATTACTGTATATCTTAAAACCCCCATTTTTATTTTAGTTCAACTTTTCAAAATAAAGCCCCTGGTTATAACAAAATGATACCATACCAGCAATGTCAAAAATATTTTTCAACCCAAATGTCAAAAATATTTTACCTGAATTTCCTCTTGTAGAGAAATGATTGATTGTTGTTCAACATTTCAATAAACAAACAAAAACAAACAAAGCTTCTACACAACAGACACAAACAAATAAACAAACTACATATTTGTAGTGAAAAGTCAATCTGACCTGCAGGAAACTTTCATAAATTTTCTCAACATGTTTTGAAGAAACCTAAATTAATATTGAACTGAAATCAGTCACTATACAGCACAATAATATACAATCATTTTCACAATGTCGAGCTATTATCAACTTCGTCTTATACCTCGACTACAATAGCCACCTTTCTTGTATCACATCTTCACAATGTCAAGCTATTACCAACTTCGTCTTATACCTTGACTTCAAAATACTTTTATATTGGATTGAACGTCAGGAAATAAAGCCAATCAGAGGCCTTGACAGAAACATTATAGTTAAGTGTTTACAGACTTTTTATTGAGAGTGACTGTATTTGCTGGCGTACAATCCAATTAAATTACTGCATTTACAAACTTCCATGATAAAAGAATAGTGGCTATTGCAGTCACAGTATCAGCCCAAACCTGTAATTGACCAAGTCTACAGTGGCTATTGAATCTGATTGGTTGTAAATCCACATACGTTTTGGTGATAGGAAACATTAGTTCAAATAACGCGGTGAATTCGACAATGTCTTTGAATGAATTTTAATTCTTTGCTCGAAAAATCGAAATAATATAACATCCACGAATAAATATATCAAATATAAACTGACAAAACTTGTGGGGGTTGTCGTTTGTTTCCGATACAAACAAGTTGTTTGAGAATACGCTTAATAGTTATCTCCCTTGAAAGAGTCGTAACAGAAAAAGTCAATGAAAACTCCCAGACTATATCCAAGTGATAGACAGGTAAAAGTCTGGGCGTCAATGACTACAACTAACCTGTTATCCATGCCGCTGTTTCAGTAGGACTATATATGGTATACCAATCAGTTCCAATACTAAATACTATCTTATTGCCATTTCTGTATCAGCTTACTGATCAACAGTCAACAATTCACTTCCAACCTGAAATATAAATACCCATATATAAATAATCTAGAAAACAGAAACAAGTTTTTATCTATAAAAACACAAAATATGGATCTAAAATTTGAAAAGATATTTTTAAAATTTTATTTTTCTGTGTCTGTCATGCTGTTTGCAGCAAAGAGTAAGTTTTCAGCTACATTACCCCTCTCTTTTTTGATTACCATTCACTGACAGGGAGAAACCAAACGCAGGTATAATCTCTTTAATGCTGAGGCCACGATTGAACCCTGGACCTCCAGGTTAGCAAGCATCCCGAGCAATCTTCTAACTCACTGAGCCACCTCTCCTCCGCTCTAATATTCAAAGACCGAAATGAAATGAAATGAAATGAAATACAGCCTGCATCATGTGAGCTAATGAAGACGGTAAAGATGAAAAGACTTTTACTACCCTTAGATATCTACCTACAGTTTTACCAACTACTAAATAATATGAGATAAACCTGAATAAATTGATCTGAAAAATAAGACTGTTACAACTTATGTAACATAAATTGTACAAAACAGTATTAATTTCTAAAAAAAATATTAAGTTCTTTTTAAGAAGTTATTAGATACATAAGTTGTATTGTAAACATAAAAGCAGCTACACAAATGTTTAGCTAGTAAGGTTGTAATATATATTATATTTTTGTTTGTCAATATATAATAAATAGACATTATTCCTCCAGATGAGACCTTTTTATTCAAGGGGGGGAAATTTGTGGGCCGAATGATCACATGATTAGTTGTCCTTCACATGTTTTGGATGAATAATAATTTATTGTCTCTTCCTAGAGACAACCTTCATTAAGAAGCTGTTTTAGATTATTCCTTTGAGTGGTCTATAAATACAGTTTCTACTGTATGTACTAAAAGATGCATTTAGATAGTTATTTTAATCTGCATTTATAAACATTGTGTGAGATTTTATTGGATATGCAAATGAATACGAAATAATATGAACAGAAATACAGTAAAATAAACTCTAGATAGATTGTATTAGGAGCGAGATTTTACTCAAGATTCAAGTCCGCGACAAAGAATGGTAACTAAGACTGCGCCTCAAATCTTAAATGAGGTTAAAATATGTAATAGTTTTTGAACTTGTTGAAAAGTTGAATTATTATTTATTTTTAGATGGACATGACTAGTGAATCATATGATAATATACAAGCCCTGTTCAACAAGGTGTGTCACAGTTTATTTGGTCATTAATAATATTTTCATAACCATTTGTCCCTTACAGTATTATTGACTTTAAAGGGACATGACAATTTGTAAATTGTACTATAAAAAGTACTAGAAATGTACAAAATTAGCTTAATTCTTCAAAAATATCTCAAGCTTGGAATTTCACTTTCTATTTCTATATATGACTTTTCTATGTAGAGTCTCTGGAAAAGACGAATCGTCTTATTAACTTTCAAACATGGCTAATTCTGGAAAAACATGGATTTGCAGGCTCGAAATTTAATGCTGAGCTGTGAACATTTTTGCTAATTAGCCTAGCTACAAAATTTCTGTTTTTGTTACTAAGGTACGAGTGGACAAATGGATGGTGAATCTGTCTCTTTAAATTATAATTTTTGTGTTTCTTATATCAATAGAACCTAAATTTGTTTTTTTAAAAAGAAATGAATTGAATGAAAATGTCCTACTTTTTTCCACCTCATTGGGTTTATGAAGGCAGGCATACCATTTAGTGTGCAATGAGAGAAATTTTGCCCGGACATCGGCATCAGCCTACTTCAGTCTAAGATTTAAAATGCAAATTACCTCCTGAGTTTTAGTTAACATCGCAATAGTTATATACAAAACTCCAACCCTGTGCATGTGCTTTAGTGAATTAGTGAATAGGCTTACTGTTATAACCCTGTCAGTGCTTTCTGTTGAAATTTGAATAATTACTCGTTTCTTTCAGTCACCTTATTCTTAAATCTAAGACCTACCTGAAAATCTTAATTATATAAAAAGACTCACTTCAATAATTATAGAAAATATCCACAAGCAATTCTTTCTTAGCCACATTAATAATCTACCTTTATTAATCAATAAATCCAAATCTATTTAACAACAAGCTAGTGTGAAGTAAAAGGAATACAATGCATTTTCACTCACCTTGAAAGCATAATTATATTGATTATTAAGACTGGTATGATTCATATTATTTAAGAATTAAATGTTAGTCTCGTTAGCATTATTGGCGTGTAAACTTAATTGATCATGACGAAAATGACGAAGTTTTATTCTTATATTTATATTCAGATAGCATACTTTTATCAATACAGTTTTTACTGTTTTATATGATCAGTTTATTGAATTTACCAAAAACTTAGATTGCATCATAGTATCATGTGACAATATCCAAAAATCAATGCCAGTTTACATAAGTTTATTGAAGGGAGTCATTGGTTCATAAACTGGAAAACATTAAATTCTAATCCTTTACTGTCATTAATTACATTATAATAATACGCTATTGCTTCTTACAATGACTGTGTTTAACTATTATTCCAAATCTACTATATAACTATGGAAACGGTAACCAAGATAAAGCATCTCCTTGTTGCCAAGTTAACAAATAAGGACATAAGATAAGACATAATATATAGCAACTAGTGCTGGGTATCACGATCACGATACAAGACAAGGATCGCGATATGATACGATATTTGATAATGGGATAAAATTTGACACTTTATCTTCAAAGATTCAATATATATTAATTCATAACTTTATAATGGTAATGTAGGTGGACTAGTTGATGTAAACCTGTAAAAAAATTCCCATTTTTTTTTGGCATGAGATGTATCGTCAAGTATCGACACGAGACCTAGCAATACAATGCGCGTGGGATGTTGTATTACGATACGACAATTCTACGATACATCATGCCAACACTAATACTAACCT